TCTTTCCTCGGTTAACCGCCGGCTGTGCTGGGTTGTTATCTGCCGGTGGCTGTGATGCTATCTGCCAGATTGGCTAATAAAGTCAGAATCAGGTCGTCTAAATTCATGAGAATAATGTGGACGCATTGGATGTATCTGAGAAAGACTCGGAAGTACTCAGTTTGAAATTATGGGGAGTCAATCTGTGAAGAAGAGGTGGGGGCAGATAACATGTCACGTGCGATCACGGCTATCATTCTCCTTCGCGCCAATTTCTTTGCTCGTTCCTCTCCTATTCATGAGCTTTCGGCCATTTGGGGCTCATAAATCCACTGCAGGAGGTCCTCAATTCTTACAGGCCCGAATATTTTCAAACATTGCGCTGTCTACGCATTGCAAACACATTGACCCCTATTCCACCCTGCATCTGTTGCTCTGCCTGGCATCTTGGGTTGGGCCGTGGAAACTTGGTGGAAACAGAGTTCTGGTTATTTCAGGTCCTCATGAGTTCCGCATGGTATTGATACTAGAGGCTTTCCCCTTCATCTCAATGCACCCTGTGGATATTGCGCGCGAAGCGCACCCGAAAATCCTTGTTTTTGCACTCCCGTTCCACCAGTGACCATAGTGATTAGAGACCTCTTCTAATCTCATCGATATCTTCTTTAATCCCTTCTTTCCCGGCGATTTTTTCGATTTTTTCCTTCTCTGGACACCCAGTAAAGTGGGCGAAAAACCCTTTCCTTGCCACCACGACTCGGGCATCCTTGAGCCAAACTTGCCATCACCGTCGCCGTCGCCCGCACTTGCTGCCCCACTAAAGCCATCTGCTGGGTACATACCTGTTCCTCATAAGCGCACTTCGGAGTCACCAGCCTCAAACTATCCCTTTCCTTGCGCTTAATTATAACGGGACTTCTGCACGATCGTCTTATGTGCATGGATTAAAGGCTTATGTCTACTCCGGCGGCGCCGCGGGCGCACTGACCCTCTCTAGAAGAGAAGGAGAACCCTGGGTTCAAGCTCGCGCCTCGTGTGCCTAACTTCGATGTCGAGCCGTTCCAGCGCGAGAAGGCGTAGCGAGGCGGTGGGGGACGCTCGAAGAGGCGGGACAGGCACAATATGCGATGTACGGAACACGGTGCACGGTACACGGTGCGTCTCTCTCTCTCTCTCAATACTCGCAATACCTCTTTCGCATTCACGCGTCCTTTTCTCATTTCCTTTGCATTCACCGCCCGTTCCATGCGCTCGATAGAGTACTTCTACGTCGAATCGGGTCTCATCTACGCACTCGATACCATGCAGCACACATCCACGCACCCGCAATTTAACACACGCATACTGTATAAGCCGACAATCTCGCCATCTACACGACGCGCCACACACGCAGCAATATATGCACCCAACGCACAACTCGCACTCCCATTCATCACCTATTTCTATTCGCCTCTCTATCTCTTCCGCCCACCATCTATCCACCTCTCGCTTTTCCGGAGTCACCTCTCTGGGTTTCACTTGCTCTATTCTCGGGTCTATCTATCTCTCTGGATTTCTAGCGACTTCCTCTCCAGGATCTTTCTGGTTCATGGTCCACGGTCGAGCTCTGAATCCTCTTCATATGTACATCTCCGGGTTATTCAGGTCCGCACTGTTCCATGTCCAGTACTTACACGCCGAACAAACAAGCTTCCCAGTCCCCACCGACTCGCGCCCAGCGCTCAGCTTACATGTACCATCGCTCCGCATCGGCTCCAAACGCCTCAAATCCTTCTCGTCCCGGCCCAGGGAAATCCTTCTCGTCCCGGCCCAGGGCTCCTTGCGTTTCCCGTCGTTCTGCATTATCGACTCTATTCGTTGGCTTGGTGGATTTCGCGTGTCGACTTCCCCGTGCGCCACTGGGCTCGCATTCACTTAGGTACTTATGTTTTCGTGCGACCGGTCTGCTCGGTCTTCTCGCGTCTCGCCTCTACATGAGTATATGGGAACCTCGAACGCCAATCTGGGACAACGCGTAGACATATGAAAGTGGCCTCATCCGTTCGCCTTTCCCCCTTCCACTTCCATTCACGATTTTCCCCCTGCCACAGTGACACAGCGCGCTATTTCCATCGAATCTAGAACTTATCCGTTGCCTTGTTTCGGCCGGTCCCTTGCTGCGGGTTGAATACCTATCAGTGCTATCACTACAAGAAGTCCGAAAGGAGAAATGGGGATCATCGACTGGCTTGTTGCCTCCTTCACCTAGGCTTCACGTTTGCGCTCCGGCCGCGCTGTATCGTGCTTCTTCAACGCCATAACAACAACTCCAAGACGTGTATAGGCTGCTGCTGCTACTGTTGCGAGGGTCCAGAGAAGACCTCGGATTTCTTCGCTCGGATGTTCATTGGTTTTACTAGTCACACTCATCATCAAATCTCTCAGCTCTGACGTGCGCTGATCTGCTTCCGATGGTGAACAATGCTTGAATTATGTAGCAGCAACTTGGCTGCGAATCTATCTTCGCATATCTCTCAAACCCCCTCTATCCCGACTGTGGACGTCTCTTCTCTGTATGTATGTGATTTCTCCTCTTCCCGTTGCCGTGTACCTTTCCTGATGTGTAGGCAAGCTGCAGCATCCCTCATCAGTAAAACAACAGATTTGTCTTTCGCATCTTTGATCTTTCAAAGTAATCTTGTATCTTTCAAGGCCATCTTTGAACATCTTTGTCTTTCAGACAGAGTCTTACATCTTGAACGATATGTCTTTCGCGATCTTTCAGCTTTCGAACCACGTCTTACATCTTTGACCTTTGACCAGTTTGGGAGACTAAATTCACCTTAGCACCTAGAGTAAATACAATGAGTGTGGTTTTCGCTCTCATGTGTTAGGCTATTTCCATCCTCAAAATCCACTGGTCACTGCAGGCGGCCACGACGGACCACGCAATACATTACTCCAGCGATCGCGACCCTCAGGGCCTCGGCTCACAAATCCAATATATTGACCATTGGGCATGCAAAAAGGCAAGTCAGAGAAGGATACATTTAGCCGGGCCGTCCATGGAGCGGAACGCGCTACACCGCGGGCCAAATCATCGAAATGTCGAAGTCATTTCGAACTCCGATCAGTGGTCCGTGCGCATGATACCATCAAAGATGGTTGGTTGATGACTTGCCCGCTCCTTGCTTTCCCCCACCATCTCCCCCCTCCCTTTCATTTGCCCGCCCGCACCGCCGTCCCTCCACCTCGCCATATCCATCAAGCATGAGCAACTAACTAGTGAGCAACTCTGAACTATCGGCACTCAAGCCATTGTGCTAGTCCATCTCCGTGTCCGTGTCTCAAGCACCACCAGTTGAGCAAGTCCAAACGCGCAAGCCTCCAAGCCATTGTACTTCCAAGCAAAACCTGTCAAGAACTTCCCAAAACTTCGTGCTCGGAACGTGTCTCCCGTCTCAATATCGCCCTGATCGCCGTTGACATCTTTCTGGGGTTGTCTTGGGCTTTACTCTCGCATCTGCTGTCCTCTTGCGCCTCCTTTGAATGATGTTTTATGTTCATTCATGCTTGCTGCCCTTACCAATGTCGTCTTATTGATTTTTTGTGTCTCAGGGTGTGTGCGCGGCGGTGATCTCGGTCCGTGGATGAGTCGTCGTGCTATTTACTCTTATATAAACTGACCATCTATCTATGCGTGGTGGTGCCTATCATGCCCCCGCTCTCGCAGACGCCGCGGAGGCGAACAAGAAGAAGGAGAAGCCGAGCGACCCCCCGGGCCACGCGACGATAGCTGACTCCTCTACTGTTGCGGGGCTCGTCGGCGAGGGCCTCTCCTTCCTCCCTTCCTCTTCCCCGCCTCCGGGAAGGACTCTCCGCAGCTCGCCGCGCAGCTCGAGTTCACCAACTCTATGGGCCTGCTCCTCCAGAAGACCAAGACCAACATCCCGCGTGACTTCCGCGAGGACGTCGACCAGCGGCGGTACCTCTGGCCGCGCGAGATCTACAGCGGCTCGCAGTATGGCAGCGGGTTCGCGCGCATGGAGGAGGTCGACGGCGGCGTGGTCGGTCGTGGCCCAGGTACCGAAGCATGACACTTCGGCATCGGCGTTGGATGTCTGCCCTCTACGTGCTGGGGTGTATACAGGCGGCTTGCATGTACAAGTTGTAGTGAGAATGCAATATATGATCTTGACATCAATCTTTCGAGTATCTTGCGAGTGTCTTTCAAGGATCTTGGGTAAAGATCATCGGAGTCTTTCACTGTCTTCCACAAGACACACATCTTGCCCAAGAATAGTGAATCTACTTTCAGAAGATGGGTTGTCTTTGTCAAAAATACGTCTTTCGCGTCTTTCACATCTTGTGAAAGACGCGAAAGACGCGAAAGATGTTTTTGTAGTTTTACTGATGCTGTGAGGATGCACTAAATTCCACCGTTCAGGCTTATTTCAGAGAACCGCGCTGCAAGCTTGATTGCTGATAATCAGGATCTCCCCTAATATCTGGCTTTCAGCATGTGACTAATCAGTCCCCTTATGGATTCCCTGACTCACTGTTGAAGTAGGTGCATATCCAAGGGGGTCCAAAGATAAGAAAAATTGATATCACCTACAAATTTTTTTTTTGAGAGGGTCGGCGACACCCTCCCCCCCTCACAGCCACCTGATGCCATCAAATTCCCTTTTCGGGAAACAGCGCTCAGCTCTCAGTCTGAATAGGTAAAAGGATATCATTCTGCACTTGGATCCTCATCTAGGCTTGCGCGGCTTTGTTTGAGCACAGGGACGAGGAGTATGTAAGTATGTAGCCTACCGCACCTTCTGCCCAATTAGCTTGCCTTCTTTGGGAGACCCAGATGGTTGGTTATTCGATCCCTCACCCTGTTCCGCCCGCTCTTCGAATCTTACCCTCCATAATCAGTACGTATAATCCCACCTTGATACCCTCCAAACGAACTTCAAATGCCCCAAGAAAGATCCAGCCAGGACTCTGTACAAGGGTTGCGACAAAAACAAGGGGTAGATCGATCACTGTAGTTCGGGCGCCAGGAATCGAACCTGGGTCTCTCCTGCACTGGGGGTGCTATGGATCAAGATGAAGAAGTGTGTTCCGTACACCACGCCCGATAATATATCTAACTATGAACCTGAATAAGTACAATTATATGGCAGTATACAAAGGATGGTTGCGGCACTTCGCACTTCGCACTCAGGCGTTGCGAGTCATATTAATGGGCAGATAATACTGATTCCCTACAGTCTACAGTAAGCACATTACTTACAACCAGCTCAGTTGACAGCGTCCAACCGTCAGAAGTTCCAGTACATCTTCCAAAAAGGTTAGAAAGCCTTTGACGAATTCGAGTGCCAGGAATCGAACATGGGTCTCTTCTTAGTATTCAATCTATCGACCCAACACCTGGTTTTTTATGCAACTCTGAGTTTGAATAGGTGCACAGATATACCAGCGCTCCTCGATCCTCGTCCATGCTAGCCTCCTAAAACGTGCATAACAGACTGTACCTTCTGTCCGATCGACTTCTTTGGAATATTGATTGGTTAATAAATTTCATGGCAAGTATCGCGATCCACCACGTTCCTACACATACATAATCCCACTTTGATCCCCTCCAGGCAAGCCGAGCGTTAAATTCCCCAGAATGATCTCGCTGGAGTCTAAGGATTGCAACAAAAAGAGAGAAGAATTGGATTCGTAGTTCGGCCGCCAGGAATCGAACCTGGGTCTCTCATAATATCTAGATTTCATCCGTAAAGCAAACCATGTATCTAGGGTGCTCACAGGAGAGAAGGATTGCCGGTGATCTCCAACTTTCTGGCGTCCCATTCCCTAGAATTGCGAAGCGTAGTGTCATGAATGAAAATGTGATCTAAGGGGAGATGCCTCGTTTGTAATTTCATTAAATCGCTAACTATAAACATGATTGGTTCCAAGATAGGAGGAGAAATTGTAAGTACTTGCTACTTAGGTTTGAACACATCCCGCACGTCATCCAAATTCGCCCGATCAAACGCCAAATTACTGCCAGCAAAATGGACATGGCCGACATCGTGCTTGCTTCTAAGTTCCAACTACCACATACATACACGCGTCCACCCTCAGATATATAGACGGGCGTAGTGTACGCAACACCCTCCTCCTCCCTATCTTGTTGTACAGGAACGCGGAAAGACCCAGGTTCGATTCCTGGTGCCCGAATGCCTTGGAACATACCATCACTTTTTTACAGTGTCGATTCTCCCGAGTCTCCCCACATTTTCGTGACTATAAGGTAAGAAAGTGACCATTGCTATAGGGCGTGGTGTATGGAGCACCCACCCTTCTTCCTGGTATTGAGGGCTTGTATCTTGGATTCAGAGGAAGCCACCCCTGGCGCCCGAACTACAGGGTATAATATACCATGTCTGTTTTTTTTTTTCGATTATGATTCACGGAGGGTCGCCTAGATTCTCCCTTATGAAAGAACTGACTGACCATTTCAATCGGGCGTGGTATGCGGAACACCCTCTCTATTTCCGAGATTTTGAATCTGCGAACGCGAAAACTTGACCCAGGTTCGATTCCTGGCACCCGAATAGGCAGGCAGTTATCTGGCGGTCACTGTTTTTTGTTTGAACCACGTTTGCAGAAGAAGTATGAATGGAGAACGACTCTACAGTAAACAATAATAGTAATACACGGTTTCGGCCGAGCGTCACATGCAGCAAGTATAAACTCTCGGTCCGTCTTTTGCTGCAATGTCCTTGTACTTAAGCTGACAGCTAGATACATGTAAATCATCGGGTTTGGTGTATGGAATGCAATCCTCGGCCGTACTGTTGATACCGATTCACCGGGTTCGATTCCTATCATCCGAATGGTCCCCAGTTGCAGCAATTTTTACACAAACCCTAGTAATAGCTTTATTTTTCTCGAAACAAGATCTCAGTTCTAAGTCTCCAGCCTGGGTCCTTTTTTGTAGCGCAATAAAGGACTTGTTGAACTAACCCGATTACTTCACAAAGTATGCTGGCCAATTGAGCATACTCTGGACGGCGGCGGAAACCACGGCCGTGAACACATTGCGAGGATCGTATCAACGACTATGGCAAGGTTTTTAGGAAGTCTCCGATCTAGGAGCCCTTAGTTCCCGGCCCCGGCCCCTTAGGAATCCGCCAGTAAACATTATGAACTCACGTGCCTCCGTCCGTCTCGGCTCCGTCGTCTGATCCGTCGCGACTCCCGATCAACGCTCTCTCCTCTTGCCACCACCCCGCCGCCGTCCCTGGACATCCTTGATCCAAACTTGCCGTCACCGTCGCCGTCGATTTTGCCTACACTTTCTGCCACATCAAAGCAATCTCTGCTGCGTACTTACCTCGCCCTCGAGCTCCTCATCGACGCAACTGCCTCTATCCTCCTCACCTCCATGCTCCTCTGCCTCCGGCTCCTCTTCGGCTTCGACTTGAGCTTCATATTATCTCCTTCCTTACGGGGACTGCACGATGGTCCCGCGGGCGGTGATTGAGGGGGTCTTACGTCTACTCCGTGGCGGCGCGGGTGCGCTAACTCTGGCGAAGAGAAAATGACCCCGCAGTTCAAGTTCTGGACGTCGGCGTAGACGCGTGCCTGCATGAGACATTATTGCGCTCGATGGGGTCGTTCGAGGAGGCCGAGTCGGACACGACATACGATACACGGACCACGGTGCGTCTCTCATTCTAACATTCGCATCAATGCATTTTTCGCATTCACACGCATTCATTCTTCACTTCCTACGCGTTTACCATTCGTGCCGTCCGCTTATGCACCACACACACGCGCGCATACCATATAGGCCGACAATCTTGCCATCTATACCACCATCCATCCGGACATTCATACATGCACCCAGCGCAAGACTCGCGCTCCCATCTCTCATCTAATTCCTATTCACCTCGCTATCGCTCCCCCACTATCTATGTACCTCTCGCTGTTCGGGTCTCTCTGGGTAGCGCCTTTTCCCGGTCCACGACGCAAATCCTCTTCTCTCCGTACGTCTCTACGCCTCTCTATACGTAAGGATCCTGGTAAATTCGAGTCCGCTCCTCCACTACTGACACGCATCACCACGCTTCTGCTTCAGCACCGACTCGGTCCCCGCTCAGCCTCAGCTTACCATCGCTCCACATCAACTCCGAACGCCTCAAATCCTTCTCTTCCCTTTTGGTCTACCTGGGCCTCTCTTTCGCTTTTTTTTCTTCCGTGATTTTTCGGGCGCGCAGTGTGTCGCTCGATCGCTCTTCTATTCGGATCCCTGGTCTCGGCGCTACAACATTCATCCAAGCCGCCCCGATAATATACACCGCACCCATACGCACACATACCATTCACCCGATCCAGTACTTCCACGTAAACATTCACTCGCACTCGCACTGTGGCGACTTTGACAACTCGCGGCTGGCCAATGAGATCGTTCTTAATGTTCCGGGTCTTGGATGTGCGTTACCGTCTAATCTCTGTCTATTCTAACCCGGTGTCTCGCCCTTCGGGCGTACATGTAAAGCAGGACTAAACAACCCTAGTAAAAGGTCACAGCCAGCCGCTGGTTCTTGGACGCGATATCAGGCGTGCCTGTCCCGCCCGTGATGTATGCCTTTTTCTGCCCCACCGCCTTGTTCAGGTACTCGATCGCCGCCTGATTCGGCCCGCCCATCCAGTTCCCCATCGTGCTCGCGATGCACTCGACCCCGTCCTGCCTCTTCTGCTTGGCCGCCGCGGGGGCCTTCTCGACAATGTCCCTCTCAGTGAACCCTCCCTCCACCTTGCTTCCGTCCGTCGACGCGATCGTCGCCGCTCCGTCACAACCCTGTTCCAGACTAATATCCCCGTGGGCCCCGTGGTCGTTGTCGGCGCTCAGTTGGAACTCGGCCCACGTGGCGGGCTGGAAGGTCCCACGCTGCACGCGCCCCTTGAAGCTCGGGGGCAGCGAAACAAAGTGCGTCTCGCCCGGCTTGAGAGACACCGATGTCGATGGCTTGTCAAAGTTGGCCCCCGCCGTGCCGTTACCGTTCCAATAGTTGGGGTAGAAGAAGTACTTGTCCTCCTTCTGGCCCTTGTTCGACAACACGATTCCGGGGCCGGAGGGAGCCTCAGTCGAGGCGGCCACGGCCTTGACGTGCGCTACGGCGGTGCCCTGGATGCGATGCGCGAGTTGCGGCGCGTGGTCGTCGGGCGTGGCGTCACCGTCACTATACGTCAGGATCAGATCCTTGTTCCCGTGCGCGGCCGACGACTGAGCGTTATCGCCCGCGTCCCCCTTGCTGTTCCCCCACGCCCCGATGCCGATGTAGACTTTGTCCTCGGCGAACGTCCGCACGAACGCCTCCAGCGCCTTGTTGCTCTTAGGCGCGTCGATGCGCACGGGGACACCGCGCTTATCGAGGTGCACCACGCCCTTGAGTTCTTCTTTCTTCTTGGCGTCGGCCTTCTCCCACGCCTCCCGCAGGTTCTGCATGAAAGTCGGGTCGCCCTTGCGCGTGGACGCGTCGCCGATTTGTTGGATGGTCATATTACCTCCTGCACCGACGATGACGCTGATGTCGAATGTGTCATTCCCACCCCATCCGTCCTTGGTGATTTCGGCCTGCTCGCCTTCGTGTCCGTCGTGGAGGGCGATGATGGCCCCCGAAGTCTTGTCGGGCGCCTCGATCGTGGTCGTTTGACCAGCCTTGACGATGAGGTTCTTGTTGTCGTGGTAGCCGTGCACCTCAAACTCTTGGTCGTGCTGGGATTTGTTGTGGACGTGGATGTAGTGCATTTTTGGGGGCAGATGTATAGAGTGATAGAAACTGTCTGGGTAAGTTTAGTCAGTAGCTGACCTTAGATATATAAGCACAACGACGACTGCCCGACATTTATATCCCTCCGTCGACATCGCATTTACTTCGTACATATGACCGTCTACATCGTGCTGACTCAGGCTGACTCACCGGGCTTTTTATATCCCTCCGTCAACATCGGGGCCACCCACCCGGCATTTTTTTAATCCTCCTTTTTACGACGAGTTGCGGATCCCAGAAATTATCTTCGCACCTGAGTCTAAGATCGTGTAAAGCACCGTTCACATCGTGCTCTCCCACTTAACTTT